GTTTCTTTTGAACTGCAGGAGCTGAGTCACCCTGCTGGTGCCAGGACTGCGCTTGCAGGGTCCTCTGAGAGTGTTGAAAGTAGAAGCATTGCTAATCTTAGCAGATTTTGTCTCAGTTTTCTGGGGAACTTGATTGAGTTCCACAGATGTCTCAGGCCTGCAGCCAAGCTGTGCACAGTGACGCACAAGGCGCTGATGCTGCCCTTTGCACAAGCACACAACCCTCACAGTGTAAACACACAACCCTGCAGAGGCAGAAGGAGAAGGTAGGGTGCATCATAAATCTTGACCTGGGAAAGCAGCAAATTGCCTGTCAATGGAATCCTAGACCATCTTACACACACACACACACACACACACACACAAACAAAAACACACACACACACACACACACACACACACACACCCCCGCTGGCACTGTTCCTGGACCATCTGCAACTCATTCTGAGGGTCTTCCAGAGAAGCCATGTATGAACCCAGCCAAGGACGCAGAGAAATTTAAGAGCAGAGTTGGAACAAGGGGTTGGGGGAATCAACCCTGAGCCAGATGTCCTTGCAAAAACACATTTACATTTCATGCCTGTTTTGGAGAGGGAAATAATTCTCAGCACTCTCAGCTATGGGCTCTGGTGGCGGTGTGTGTGTGTGTGTGTGTGTGTGTGTGTGTGTACTACAACAGCAAAAGTACAAGCATAACAAAATGAAGAATCAAAAGTGTAAACTATAGAAGCGTCTCAGCCTGGAAGGACAAAAATACAAAGATCCAGTACAGCTCCAAAGGGATAGAAAAGTATTAACTCATGCGAAGATCCCCTATATACATAATAAAGATTTATAAAAGGATTCCAGACCCTCCAAGTGTCCCTGTTTTCCAGGGACAGTCCTAGATAAGCCAGACATATACTGATGGCACTGTGCCTCTATAAGAAATAAAAGCATGTCATACACACACACACACACACACACACACACACACACATATATATATATATATATACATTATATATATATATATATATATATATATATATATATATATATATATATGACATTCAAGCTTTGCCTCTTAGATACTTTTAGTTCATGAGGCATCATTTCAAGAAGAACAATCAACCCAACCCTGGAATGCCAGTAATCCAAATGATTAAGATTATTATTATTTATTAAATTGATAATACCGATCTTCATCTGAAGTTCACAGAGCACTTTGCAACATAAAAATACAAAATAAAAACAAGACCACAATACAGCAGCAAATACCCTCAATGCATTCTGAAGGTCATAGATTCTTTTAATCAGCCAAAGGCCTGGCTGAAAAGGACAGTTTTTTCCTGGCACCTAATGATATGTAACGAAGGCACCTAAATATATGTGACGAAGGCACAAGACAGGGCCAGCCCACCCATGAGGCAAGGCGAGGTGACTGGTCTCAGGTGGCAGGATCCCCTGGGTCAGCAGATCCCGATGTCAATCTTTCTCCCCTTCTTGTTCCTGATGCTTTCCTGGTGGGGAGGGGGGCACTATTTTGGGGTCCACCTCAGGTGCCAAAATGTCCTGGGCCGACACTATCACAAGAACATTCCCCTGTCCTGTGGTTTCCAGCAACTGGTATTCGGAAGCATTGCTGTCTCCAACTGTGGAGGTAAAGGTAAAGGGACCCCTGACCATTAGGTCCAGTCGCGGACACCTCTGGGGTTGCGGCCCTCATCTTGCTTTACTGGCCAAGGGAGCTGGCGTACAGCTTCCGGGTCATGTGGCCAGCATGACTAAGCCGCTTCTGGCGAACCAGAGCAGCGTACGGAAACACCGTTTACCTTCCCGCCGTAGCGGTACCTATTTATCTACTTGCACTTTGACGAGCTTTTGAACTGCTAGGTTGGCAGGAGCAGGGACTGAGCAATGGGAGCTCACCCTGTCGCTGGGATTAGAACCATCAACCTTCCGATCGGCAAACCCAAGGCTCAGTGGTTTAGACCACAGCGCCACCCACATCCTTTCAGTACCTTTCCCCAAAAGAACATGTTTGACCAGCAGTTATTGCAACCTTCAGGGTTTCACTGCTTCCTTCAAGGCAACAGGGACCAGCCTTCTTCTCACTCACCTCCTGGACCCAGTTGTCCAATCCCCTTTTGCAAGCCCAGTAGCCAAGGAAGACAAATATCAAGCTTTCGAACTGCTAGGTTGGCAGGAGCAGGGACCGAGCAACGGGAGCTCACCCTGTCGTGGGGATTCGAACCGCCAACGTTCTGATCAGCAAGCCTTAGGCTCTGTGGTTTAACCCACAGTGCCACCCGCGTCCCCACTTTGTGAATAAGAACTTTCTTTTATCTGTCCTGAATCTTCCAACATTCAACTCGGGTGTCCACTCCCCTCTTTTCACTTTCCCCATGCCATGCACCATTTCATAAATTTCCATCATGTCTCCTCTTACCACCTTTTCTCTCAACTAAAAAGTCCCAAACACTAATGTCTTTCCCACAATAGGCCTCCTCCCACTGTGAGGACAGGATGCTGGACTAGGTGGGCAAATGGCCCAATCCTGGAAGTTCTCCTTATGTCCTTATGGAAACCAGAGGAAGGGAGAGTATTCTTGGGCTCAGCTCCTGTTTGAGGGTTTCCTGTTGGGGTACCAGGCAAAACATTTCCTCAGTAACCAGCAGGCCTTTGGCCTTTAACTATCAGTGGCCTTCTAGAAGTGGGCAGGACGTCTTGAATGTCTTTCTTTCTCCTCTTAGTTTTAATGTATCTATGTAGGACTTTTATATGCCTGTTGTGTTTGTCAGCAGAGACATCACCTTGCCAACAAAGGTCCATATAGTTAAAGCTATGGTTTTCCCAGTAGTGATGTATGGAAGTGAGAGCTGGACCATAAAGAAGGCTGATCGCCGAAGAATTGATGCTTTTGAATTATGGTGCTGGAGGAGACTCTTGAGAGTCCCATGGACTGCTAGAAGATCAAACCTATCCATTCTTAAGGAAATCAGCCCTGAGTGATCACTGGAAGGACATATCCTGAAGCTTCCATGGCCACCTCATGAGAAGAGAAGACTCCCTGGAAAAGACCCTGATATTGGGAAAGACGGAGGGCACAAGGAGAAAAGGACGACAGAGGACAAGATGGTTGGATAGTGTCCTCGAAGCTACCAGCATGAGTTTGACCAAACTGCGGGAGGCAGTGGAAGACAGGAGTGCCTGGCGTGCTCTGGTCCATGGGGTCACGAAGAGTCGGACACGACTAAATGACTAAACAACAACATGTAGGACTTTTGGTCTGTTTGGTTGGTTGTAGGTGACTTTGGGTTGCCATGGGGAAGAAGATAAATTGATGAACAAATTCAATGAATGAATGAATGAATGAATGAATGAATGAATGAATGATCTTGATTGGCCACTGTGAGAAGAGGATGCTAGACTAGAAGGGCCATTGGCCTGATCCAGCCCAGCTCTTCTTTTGGTGCTGGACTAGATGGGCCATTCATTGGCCTGATCTGGAAGAACTCATCCTATGTTCTCATGTTCTATGGTTCATTCCAGGAGGAAGAAATGTTTTCCTCCCTTTTCCTTAAAAGAGGAAAAGCTTTGACTCTACTGTCCATCAGCCTGTCTTAACAAGTCCTGAATTTGGAGTGAGAGAGGTGCAGACACCAGGGTGGGGTGTGTTCCAGTCCATGTTGTGGTTGTTCCTGGGTGCTCAGCAGAGGATGTACAGTGGTACCTCGGGTTAAGTACTTAATTCGTTCCGGAGGTCTGTTCTTAACCTGAAGCTGTTATTAACCTGAAGCACCACTTTAGCTTATGGGGCCTCCTGCTGCCGCCGCGCCACCGGAGCACGATTTCTGTTCTCATCCTGAAGCAAAGTTCTTAACCTGAAGCACTATTTCTGGGTTAGCAGAGTCTGTAATCTGAAGCGTATGTAATCTGAAGCGTATGTAACCTGAAGCGTATGTAACCCGAGGTACCACTGTATGTTCCCCACTTATTCCTCTTTCTTCAATCAAGAAATAGATTATGGGAACTGGGGGCTTCCTCACTCTCTCCAGGTTATCTGCTGTCTCCCTTTACAGACATGTGGGACTATTGTTTACTCATTATTTTATTTTTTGCATTTATATCTCACCCTTCTCTCTCCAAGGACCTCAATGTGGCATTCATGGTTCTCCCCGATCTTCATTTAATCCCCACAACAACCCTGAGAGGTAGGTTAGGCTGAGAGCCGGTGACTGGCCCCCAAGGTCACCCTGAGTGAGAGTTTCATGGCTGAGGGAGGATTTGAACCCTGTTCTCTCCCAGCAAATAGCCCGGCACATTAACCACTAACCCTCAGCTATGGTATTTTAGCTCAGTCATCGAATTTAGATCTGTAACAAAGCAGCTCCCCAACCCCTGCACATAAAATGATGTTGCTGAGGCTGGTGGAAGTTGCAAGCCACAACATCTAAACAGCACCAGATTGCAGTGGGGGGGGGGTTGAGAGGGAGACATAAACCACAGCTGTATAAATAGATGAAGCTCTGGGTCTCTTCTAGATAAGTTGCAGGGTGGTTAGATGGTGTTACATCAAGCAGATGTTATCCCACTTACTGCAGCATCTTTTCCCGGCACTTTCTTTATCACATAAACAAAAAAACCCAAACCACTTGGGGGTGTTAAGGAAAAAATCTAGGTGTGAGGCTGCTCAGTCAACCAGCTCGTCGGGCGGAGCCCGCGGGTCCCTGCGGAATAAAGAAAGGATTCCAGCCACCAACCGGAGCAAATAGCTGTAGACCAAAGTTTATTGCGCAATAGGTTCAAAGAGCAAATTTGAACCCCAAGGATGGGGTGACAAAGACTTTTAAAACTTTCCCACCATATCCCATAATACAGTTCGTACAGCATCATTGCTACATCATTGCTACATCACTGACATGTCACAAAAGGGGAGGGGTTAACCTTGGCAAACATGTCCAGACAAGTCCTTGGTACAAGATTAGCATAAGCAGACATGGCAGGGCAAGACTCAGGTATAAGATTAGCATAGACAAACATGTATGTCTTAAGTACCCACCACCCAACCGTACAATGGAAGTTCCTTTGCATGTCTGGAGCCTGAGGTGAGTCAGGTGATGAGATCTGGCTTCCTTTGGCTAACAATGAGCCCAGCAATTGTCACCTCTGGGAACTTCCTGGAGTCCCTTTTCAAGGGGAAAATAGCTTTGGGATGGAGGAAACTGGGAAAGGAGATGATTTTATATTATTTTTTAAGCTAGGTAACTTCCCTGAGCTGTCAAGTTGAAAGGATACATTCAGGCATAATATTTGTAATATTTAACTTTAAAGATGTGCCCCCATCCCCGGTAATTTCCGTAACAGTTGGCAGTCTAACCCTCTGTAAGGCAGCTTCTGATGTTCCTGTTTAGCACAGTCCTTAATTCAGAACCATAAGGACTAGAATCCTACTTCAGGGAAGAGTGAGAGCTCAGGGGTAGAAGATCTGCCTTGTATGCGGTCCTGGAGGTGTTGCTGAATATGATTAGAAGGGACCAGATGGTTAAAGGTATACAGGTCGGAACTAAACACTATAAATTGAGAGCATTTGCAGATGACTTAGTATTGATGTTACAGGAGCCAGAATCTAGTACAAAAAGGGTTTTAGAACTGATTCAAGAATTTGGTCAAGTGGCAGGATTTAAATTGAACAAGTCAAAAACCAAGGTTCTAGAGAAAAATTTAACACCGTTTGAAAGAGAGAGGTTTCAGAATGAGACAGGTTTAACAGTGGTTAACAGTGGTTAAGAAAGTTAAATACCTGGGGATTAACATGACAGCAAAAAATGGGAATTTATTTAAAGATAACTATGAAAAATGTTGGTCAGAAGTGAAAAAAGATTTAGAAATTTGGTCAGATTTGAAGCTTTCACTGCTAGGCCGTATCGCATTCAAAGATGAATGTATTGCCTAGAATGTTGTTTTTGTTTCAAACTTTGCAGATCGTGGACAAAATGGATTGTTTCAAGAGGTGGCAGAAAGATATTTCTAGATTGTCTGGCAGGGCAAGAAGCCCAGAATAAAATTTAAAATACTAACGGATGCAAAGGAAAGAGGTGGATTTGCCCTGCCAGACCTTAAACTGTACTATGAATCAGCAGCTTTTTGCTGGTTGAAAGAATGGCTACTTCTTGAAAACACTGACATTTTGGATCTAGAAGGTTTTAATAATGTATTTGGATGGCATGCATATTTATGGTATGATAAGGTCAAGGCACATAAAGCATTTAAAAACCACATTGTCAGGAAAGCGCTGTTTAATGTTTGAATAAGATATAAGGATTTGCTAGAAAATAAAACCCCAAGGTGGCTGTCACCAATGGAAGCGAAAGCCTTGAAAAAGGTCAATATGGAGGTCAAATGGCCGAAATATTGGGAAATTTTGGAACAAGACGGAGATAGACTGAAATTGCAGAGTTTTGAAAAATTAAAAACAAAGTGCGAGACTGGCTTCATTATTATCAAATAATGGAGGTATTTAAATTGGACAGGAAAATTGGCTTCCAGGTGGAAAGATCCAAATTAGAAACAGAACTGTTAGAACCCAATACTAAGAACTTGTCAAGAATGTATAACTTGCTGCTGAAATGGAATACTCAAGATGAAACGGTAAAATCGGCTATGATTAAATGGGCACAGGACGTTGGCCATAACATTATGTTTGCTGACTGGGAACAGTTATGGACCACAGGTATGAAATTTACGGCATGTAATGCCTTAAGAGAGAATATTATGAAAATGATATACAGGTGGTACATAACCCCAGTCAAGCTTGCGAAAATCTATCACTTGCCCGATAACAAATGTTGGAAATGTAAAGAAACTGAAGGTACATTTTTCACCTTTGGTGGACGTGCCCAAAGATTAAGGCTTTCTGGGAAATGATATATAATGAATTAAAAAAGGTATTTAAGTATACCTTCCCTAAGAAACCAGAGGCCTTTCTCCTGGGCATAGTAGGCCAAATGGTGTTAAAAAAGGATAGAACTTTCTTTACGTATGCAACAACAGCAGCAAGAATACTTATCGCAAAGTATTGGAAGACACAAGAACTTCCCACGCTGGAGGAATGGCAGATGAAACTTATGGACTATATGGAATTGGCGGAAATGACTGGTAGAATCCGTGACCAGGGAGAAGAGTCGATGGAGGAAGATTGGAAGAAATTCAAAGACTATCTTCAGAAACACTGCAAAATTAAGGAATGTTAGAGTGATGTTGGACTGAAAACAAGTGGTTTGTTTAAAAATTTAATAAAAAATTATTGAAGAAAAAAAAAGAAGAAGAAGATCTGCCTTGTATGCAGCAGATCCCAGGACTAAACTCCAGCAACATCTACAGGCATGGCTGGGAATGTTCCCACCTTGAACCCAGGGTAGTTGCTGCCAGTCCGTGCAGACATTACTGAGCTAGATGAACCAAAGGTCTTCCTCTGTCTCTGTACTAAAACAGTTTACTAAGTTCTTATGCTCTTTGCCTATTACTTATGTGCAAAAATAAACCAATGCACTCCGGTTTCTCTTCAGATCGTAGAAATCTTTCGCCTTTTACAAAAGGCATTACATTGGAAACGTTTGTGATTTGGTATGAGTCCAAATAGGTCGAGCCAAAAAGTTATTCAGTAGACACTGAATCCAGCTGACTGCCTGTTTCATTGGACTTTGGCAAACAGCAAGAATTTGAAATGGATTCAGCAGGGTGCTGTGCTTAATTATTTTCCCACAAGTGTCATTGCAGTTTTTAAGCTTGATCCGGGGAGAAACATAAACAAACAAGGAATTTCATGATCATCCAGTTGCAAGCCAAGTTGGGGTTGGAGCGGCGTAAGTCTGGTTTAGTAGAAATCACAGGCAGGAGTTTGTAGCACTGAACTGAGTGGAAGTGACACACTCTGTGTCAACTTTAAACTCCCTTGGCCCACCTGAGAAAGCTAAAAAACACAGAGGCCCGCCAATCTCAAAATGGTGGCTGAGATGGGCATAATCAGATGGTACTTAATGGTTTTTAATACTCTCTTGGGAGCAAGTCTCCTGATATGCTATATCTGGAACTTTTACAAAGATGGCAAACCTGTGTCATGTGCTCAATTTCAAGAACCCCTTGGAGACGTTCCATATAAATGGATTCAGCTGCGTCAAAGATCCCAGTTTGAAGCTTTACTTCTGGTCAAAGACCAGGCCTCTCTCTCTCTCTGAAGAGCTGATGGTTCAGCCCAGGGACACAAGAAAAAAGGCACAATATCAAAAATTGACCACATTCTTGTTATGCTTATGCCTAGCTCCGATAAGGGCTTGAGGCATTTCTGAGAACATGATGTTAGAGATGAAACTTCTGCCACTGAGCAGGGCAAGATTTAGAGCTCTGTGGCTTTTGAAACCACTTCCGCCAAAGTGAAAAGAAAGTGTTTTGAAAGCAACCCCCCCCCCATGCCTGTTGGATGAAATCAATACATTGGCTGATCCCATTTTCTAGAGAAATTGGAGTTTGTTGGGTTCACATGTCCACCATGTATGATGGTTTCCCCCCTAGAGAAAGCTCGTTTTGGATAATAGCATTCAGAGTAACTGAGCAAATAACAAAACAGAAAGTCTTCCTTAGCTCTTGCTTTCAATTTTTGAGTACCCAAACCAATTTACTGCATAAGAATTTGGGTTTTTTCCTCTCTCTCTCTCTCTCTCTCTCTCTCTCTCTCTTATAAAGTTGACTGTGGTTGCATCTTTGGACATGCATTTTTTAAAAAATAAATGTTATTACGGTTTATAGAGAAAAATACAAAGCTTAATATATTTTCACTTTTCTTAACCAAACCAATATTTTTTATCGGGGGGGGGTAGAGAAGAGGGAAAAAAGAAATAAAAAAAGAATAGAAAAGAGGTTAAAAGAGGAAGATAGAAAAATAAGATTCAGAAAGTAAAGAACTACCGATTCTTCATCTGGCTGCTATATAAAAACAATACTGTACAGTGGTGCCCCGCAAGACGAATGCCTCGCAAGACGAAAAACTCGCTAGACAAAAGAGTTTTCTGTTTTTTGAGTCGTTCCGCAAGACAAATTTCCCTATGGGCTTGCTTCGCAAGACGAAACGTCTTGTGAGTTCTTGTGAGCTTGTTTCCTTTTTCTTTAAGCCGCTAAGCCGCTAAGCCGTTAATAGCCGCTAAGCCGCTAATAGCCGTGCTTCGCAAGACAAAAAAACCGCAAGACGAAGAGACTCGCGGAACGGATTAATTTCGTCTTGCGAAGCACCACTGTATCCACTTTGTCCAATCCAATATAACACCCAGCAAAGCTACATTCTATATAAAAATATTATCTTTAATCCAGATATCATTATTTCCTTCTCTTTTTCATGCACTGATTTGTTAAACAGCAGGCAAAGACAGATTTGGGATCTTGTTCTCCTGGAGAAATTGACTTGGTAGTTTAACTATGCGCTGCATGAAGAAGGACTTTTATCTTTTCTGAATCTCCCAACATTCAGTTGCATCAAATGTCCATGAAGTAGATTTGTTTCACCCATTTTAGAAGCAGCCCTAGAACTTTTACTCATGTCTGACCAGTGCTCTATTTTGGGGAGGGTGGGGTCAGGAGGAGAGTTGCAAATCCAAATCTGGGATGAAAGCTTTTGTCGAGTCATCCTACCAATCATTCGGTGACAAAAAAATGCAGCTTTGACGTGCCCTTTCTGGCAAATGGCCTTCAGACTAAGGGGTTTGATCCTCTGGGCAAACCAGCTTTTGCACGTAGAAAATGTGAGTCAGGCCATGACAGGAAGGTGAGAGTTCATCCTGATTTGCTTGCACAAAGTTTACACAGATGTTAAAAGCATAAGACGATAAGGAGAGCCTGCAGGATCAGGCCCATCTCACCCAGCATTCTGTCCTCACCAACCACATGCGCCAATGGGAAACTGGCAAGCAGGATCCAAGCACAAGGCTCTCTCCCCTCCTGTGGTTTCCAGCAACAGGTATTCAGAAGCATTTCTGCCCCTGACTCTGAAGGCAGGGCACAGCCATCATGGATGGTAGCCATCAATAGCCCCCTCTTCCATTATTTCCTTGACCAGATGATCTCTGGTCTTTGTTGAGCCTTGGTTCTGCTTGTCTTCCTTGGACACAGCCTTCTTTTTTTCTTTATTTATACTTTTCAAATTTATACATTTCACTAATTTTACAATCATTTTAACATTTCAAGGTTTGACTTCCCCCTCTTTCTGCGGTTCCTTAAATGTATTTTTAAAATATCTTCTAAATATCTTCTGCATATCCAAATTCATTTAATTATCTACTTTAAATGTATACTCTTATGAAACTGCAGGTTATTACAATAATCCTGCCAATGTTTTTATCTGTTTGCAATTTATCTGTAAATATTCAATAAACCATTTCCACTCTTTTAGAAAAAGTTTGTTATCTTGATTTCTTAATCTTCCAGTAAGTTTCGCCATTTCTGCATATTCCATAAGTTTTTGTGTCCATTCTTCCTTTGCTGGGACTTCTGCTCCTTTCCATTTTGGGACGAGTAGCATTCTTGCTGCTGTAGTCGCGTACATAAATAAATTTCTATACACTTTAGGTAGTTCTGGCTCTATAATTCCCAAAAGAACTGGGCCCGAGGTGGGGCCCAAGTGAATATGGACCCACTCAAAGAGCGGGAGTGGAGGGCACTCGGGGCATCATGCCTGAGCCCCCCAGCAGGGCCAAACCTGGTCCTGGAGCAGGACAGGATTGGTTCCTCCTGGGAACTGCTCCACCATAGAATCGCAGAATTGTAGCACTGGAAGAGTTATCCACAAAGGTAATGTAGTCCAAGCCCCTGCAATGCAGGAGCCACAGCTCAGTAATCCCTGACCAATGGCCATGTTCAGGTGTGTTTCCTCTCCTGGGCTACCTGGTGGTGGCTGAGGTAAGGAGGCCTCCACAGGGCTCAGTGGTGGCTAGACCAAGACTGCTGAAATATACTCGGAGTCAAGAGTGGATTTCATGCTCTTTATTCAGCTCATAGTGGTGAGGAGGAATGGAAGTTCCCCCAGAATGTCTGCTTTATATACATTATTTACACAATGGGCCCCACGTGATTGGCTAATTCCGGGATTCTCCTGTAGGCCAATCAGGTTGTGGATTCACTTCCACCTGGAGCTGGATTGGGTGGCTCCTGCGGACCAATCAGAATGCTGCATTCTGGGTCCTATTGTTCTAGGACCAATCAGACTGCTGCATTCTGGATCCTATTGTTCCAGGACCAATCAGACTGCTGCATACTGAATCCTATTGTTCTTGGACCAATCAGACTGCTGCATACTGAATCCTATTCAACTCAGTACATAACAACTGCCATTGCTCTTCCTGTGCTGACTGGACATATCTTGGCTCTTCAAAGGAAACCAAAGGAGGATTTCTTGGTGCTCTTTAGAACCGGATAAGCGAGAAGAGGAAGTTTTGCCACAATCAGAAGAGGAAGGATGTAAGACTAGCTCTCTCGCAGGTTCCCTTCTTTGCTGAGCACCTGCTGTCCTAATCATCCTTGCACAGAGGAAGCATCAAAGGGGCTCCCTCCCCCTCCCAATTCTCCACATTTTAAGAAAAATCCCTCCCAAAAATTCATCAGGATTTCAGTGCAAACTTCTCCTCATTCATGTATACAATTTTGCAATCTATACACATTTTTGCAAAGCAATTCCCCACCCCCAAAATGCAGCCTGGTGTTGTTGTTTAACCAATCCATGCATTTTTATGCACACTTTACACAGGCGTGTGGATTTTTGGCCATATTCCTCGGCTGCGGAAGTGCACCGCAAAATTCAGAAGAAGATTGAAGGATGGTTTTGTGTTTCAGTTTGCAAATTGCTTTGAGAGACACAAATTAAATAGAGTCACCTTTAAGCATGAACTGGGCCAAATTTCTTCTCACTTCCTAGCGCAGGAGAAGACTTGTCACGCCATCTAGCCTCCCCACAAACAAAATCGGAGCGAACGCTCATGAAGTAGGCAGCTTTGTCTAATCTCTCTGCAAACGAATCAGGCTTGAAGGCTTAGCAAACAGGTGGCTTGGAGGTGACTTTACTTTGGGACTGGTGACAATGATAATTTTTCACCTGGCTTCTGCCAATCAATGGCCGTGATGCAACACATGAGTTTGCAAAATCAACTGATTTAACATTGGCCTCTCTGAACTTTGTCGGGAATGCACCATGTCCAGTGTTCGAATAAGCAAAAACATACTGCTTTCGCATGAGATGTCCAGATGATCCCCGAGAGAGGAAAACCAACAAGTCAAAGAGGATGGTTTTGGTTATAGCTTATAATGAGGATCAGGCAGGCATGAGACTCTTGCTTCCAGAGGTCAGTTGGGTTGACTCCAGCAACACTCTGGGAGTTTCAAAGTGCCCCTTCAACCTGCTGGGGGGGGGGGGACAAACAGAGGTAACTTACACACATTTTATGGGCATTTTTTAACCAACCCATGCAGTTTCATGCACACTTTACACAAGCGTGTGGATTTTTGGCCACATTCTTTGGCTGCCGAAGTGCACTGCAAAATTGCTTCAAGAGACACAAATTAAACAGAGTCATCTCTGTTTAAACCCACAGAAACCTGGGGGTTCCCAAGCGCCTCCTTACAAAATGCCCCTTCAACCTGTTGGGGGGACATAAACAGAGGTAACTTTCACACATGTTATTTGCAAGTATAGCAAGGAGGATGTCGGGGATTCTTTAGCTGTGATTCCCACATTGCAGGAGGGTTGACTTGATGTCTCTCCCAGCTCTACAACCCCATGA